ACCCCCCACCCCCCCCACGGCCGCCCTCCATGCCACAGCAGACTGCTACAGCAATGAAGTCCTCGCCCCCACCCTTCATCACTGCCCAGGTACCCGTCCTGGAACCACAGCTACCAGGCAGTGTGTTTGACCCTATTGGCCACTTCACCCAGCCCATCTTGCACCTGCCGCAACCGGAGCTGCCACCTCATCTGCCCCAGCCACCTGAGCACAGCACTCCACCCCATCTCAACCAGCATGCCGTGGTTTCTCCTCCAGGTGAGCCATGGCTATCTCTCCCTTTGCTGCCTTGGTTCTACCACATCATGACTAGGTAGTCTAGGCGCCCTGTTACCTTCAGGATTCAAGTCAGTTGCTTCTTTGGGACATGGCTGGTGTGTCAGGCCAGGCATTATGTCAGCAAAGATTGACTTGTCTGCAGCTCTAGGTTCAGGACATGGAGGAGCTATTAGTTCTCATAGTTAATCCTGTGGGACTTGGACAACATGGATGGAGTGGAGAATTTGCTCAACATCTTGGCAGGCTGATAGAAGTTTGTGAGTAGGTATCAGAGACCTAGAGTGAGGCCTGAAGGTCTGTGCAGGGGAGTAGAGGAAGGGTCAGGGACATACAATACAGCACAGGGTGACTGCAAGTAAGTCATTCTTGAAGCTATCTTTATTGTGCTGTTTGTGGAAGCTTATGGAAAGTGGAGGAAGAACAGAAAGAGGTCACTGTAGTCTAAACAAGGTCAAGACAGAGCAGAAAAAACAGACCGGAATCACAAATAGGTAACTAAGGCCTCACTCACTTCCATGTTTCTTATCATTTCAGCTTTGCACAATGCGCTGCCCCAGCAACCATCTCGGCCCAGCAACCGAGCTGCTGCTCTGCCCCCAAAGCCTACCCGACCTCATCCTGTGTCCCCTGCCCTGGCCCAGCCCCCCCTGCTCCCACAGCCACCCATGGCTCAGCCTCCCCAAGTGCTACTGGAGGATGAAGAGCCACCTGCCCCGCCCCTCACCTCCATGCAGATGCAGTTATACCTACAGCAGTTGCAAAAGGTGCAGCCCCCCACACCCCTACTCCCTTCTGTGAAGGTGCAGTCCCAGCCCCCACCCCCTTTGCCGCCTCCACCTCACCCTTCTGTCCAGCAGCAGCTCACATCCAGCAGCCCCCAGCACCCCCAGGCCAGCAACCTACTCACCCACCCCCAGGCCAGCAGCCACCCCCACCACAGCCTGCCAAGCCTCAGCAAGTCATCCAGCATCACCCTTCTCCCCGACACCACAAGTCAGACCCCTACTCAGCTGGTAAGTCGTCCTTGTTTTTGTTCTCAGTGGAGTCTGGAGCTGGGCCTACTGACTCTGACAATGCAGTGTTAGCTGTGTCTGGCTTCAGTGGGTTCAGAGCCAAACACTGTAGGCACTGTGTAGTTGGGAGTATCACTGCCCCTGCTTTGTGTTTATCAGGTTGTCTTGCTCACAAGCAGAGATAGCCCAGACAAAGACCTCCTTTGACCTTACTCCTGCTAAGTGGAAGCCAGGATCTACCCATTCAAGGTTAGGGTAGGTTTCTTGGAGGTGACCATGGGGTAATAGGAGCTAATTCGGTGAGCAGGTTGGGAATCATCAGACTGTTGGGAATCATACTCCATATGGAGCCCTGACAACTCAGGTAGCATTGCATGGACCATGTTGGTGAATCTACTCAGGAACCATGCCTGTTTCCAGCCTAGTGCAGACATCCCATTCCCCAACACTCTTGTTTAGGCTGTACACTTTCATCTTTCTATTTTTGTTTTTATTTTGTTTGTTTTGGCAGGATTTCTCTGTGTAGCCCTGGCTGTCCTGGAACTCTCAGAGACCCACCTGCCTCTGCCTCCCGAGTGCTGGGATTAAAGGCATGCACCACCACTGCTAGGCTTCCAATTCTTGCACACTTGACTTTCAAATGTTGGTAACCAAAATGCTCTGGCCACCCCTGGCTGAAAAATGTTCCAGTCAAAGCTGACAGTAACGTCTTTACAATAACATTTGAGGGCTAGAGTGGGGTGATTGGACTCAGGCACTGTACATTCACAGTGCAGTCTGCCTGAGGGTTGAACTAAATTGAGCAGCAAAGCAGGACTGTTTCTGCTTCTAGACTCAACACAAGCTACCAGGTGGCAAGTGAATTGTTGTGTGCCCTGAGCTGAGAGCAGCTGTTGCTTCTCTCTGGGAAAACCTAGAGTTGGATGTGGTCACCCATGCAGCTATGCTGTTATCATACTGTACAAGGAAGGTGGTGAACAAACAGGTGGCAGGAGAGCCAGCTCTGGACAGCCTAGGCCAGCAGCCTAAGACTGCTGTCCACTTTCTCCTGGAGGCCTCAGGGCCCCGCCCAACCTCCTGTAACCTAGGGACATAAGGAACCATATAGGTTGGAACCTAGCTGACAGCTTTGGGCTAAAAGCCAAGTTGTCAGAAACACTCAGTTGGACACCCAGCCAGTTTCCCAACACCATCTCCAAACTGCTAAGCTACCAGTAAAGCCATAGGCCAGAGTCTTCTGTTGTCCAGGTCAGTGTCACCAGGTGTTCTTGACAATACTGCTACAGATACAGGTGATCACAGACATGTACCTGTGAACTACAGACAAGGGGAGCAAAGGTGCTAGCTTCCAAGGGAGTCCTGATAAGCCAGAATGGAAGACAAGTCACAAACTGTCAAAACTCACCCTGCTAGAACTTGGTACTGGCCCAGCAGTGGAGCCAAGAGTCTGCCACATATGTGATATTATAGTCTGCTTTAGGTCTGCCAAAATAGACACCTTAAACTGGAGGGGATAATATCAGAGGATCTAAGGGTTCCTGTGGTAGTATAGTGGCTTAGAAGTGGAACTTGGAGGACTTGGCTGTAGCTGGTTGAGCTACAGGTGCCAAGACCCCTTTCTGGCTGGGATTCAAGTAGAGAGCAAACTATGTGGGAATGAATGAGATTCAGCTTCTCCAGTTCCCCAGACCAAAGGCTCTGGCTCACTATGCTGGGAGCTTAGTTTCTTTAATAGTACAGCTGAGTGTCAAAACTAAATCTTCTGGGTTTCCTTTGTTAGGATGGGGCTCCCTGGGACTCCTCTAACTTGTGTCAGGTGCTTAGGTGCTTCTTTATACCTGTTGGTTAGATGCAGGTAGTAGAGTTCTGGGACCTGTTGTACTTGATTTACCCAGGTAGAGGTCAGTCCCAATTTCTACATTCTGTAGCATGAGCTGAGTGAGTTAGGAAACAGCATTGGGGTCAGACCACCTTCACCCCAGGGCCTGGGCCCCTTTCCTCTGCAGCCACCCAGACTAGGGTTGGGGGACGGGCCACAGAGTGGATTATCTAGTTCAGTCTTCAGAACTTACTGATCTCCCTTGTGTAACCCAGGTTAACTTAGAGCCTTGGTGGGGTGTGGGGGGGGGGGGTTTGAAAAGCTCTGACATGCAGACCACACATGAGATCTAATGTGTTGGGATGTATTTAACAAAAGTTGTGGGTTGAGGTGCAGAAGAATCAAACCTTGGAACTTGGTGCCTCAGGACTACAGAAAAGCTTTTGGACATCCAATTCATGGGCATGACTAAACAAACTCCACATTTTGGGGTTAGGGGATACTCATTCCCTCAAGGTGGGGCAACCATGTCCTGTGAGTCCCCAAGCTTGCTCGGGCCACACGGTATTCTATGAACAGCCTGACGTTTCTTTTATTGCTGTTTTCTCAAGGCCCAAGTGCCTCAGGGCTAGTGGCCCCTGACAGAATTCTTGTCTTGTTTCCTAGGTCACCTTCGTGAAGCCCCCTCTCCGCTTATGATACATTCCCCTCAGATGCCACAGTTCCAGAGCCTGACTCATCAGTCTCCACCACAGCAAAATGTCCAGCCTAAGAAGCAGGTAAAAGGCAGGGCTGAGCCCCAGCCCCCAGGGCCAGTCATGGGACGAGGCCAGGGATGCCCACCTGCTTCACCGGCTGCCGTACCTATGCTGTCCCAGGAGCTGCGCCCACCCTCAGTCGTCCAGCCCCAGCCCCTGGTGGTAGTAAAGGAGGAGAAGATTCACTCACCAATCATCCGCAGCGAGCCTTTCAGCGCCTCACTGCGACCAGATCCCCCCAAGCACCCAGAGAGCATCAAGGCCCCAGTCCATCTGCCCCAACGTGAGTGTCCTCCCTGCCTGCATCTGGGACTTGGGCCCCAGGCCCACACTGGGGATGACATAGATACCCTGAGCCACACCTTTCAGGTTGCCCAGACCCACCTATTGTTTGTACATTCTAGGGCCTGAGATGAAGCCTGTAGATGTAGGGAGGCCTGTTATCCGGCCCCCAGAGCAGAGTGCACCCCCACCAGGGGCCCCTGACAAAGACAAACAAAAACAGGAGCCAAAAACACCAGTGGCACCCAAAAAGGTAAGGACGGTAGGTGCCTAAGTGTTTTGAGGTGCTCATCTCCATGAGATGATTTTGGTGGGCATAAGATCCCTGTCATAGCCTGTGCAGCAGGTCCTCATCTGGGCACCTGATCTCTCTTCTTCCATAGGACCTGAAAATCAAGAACATGGGCTCCTGGGCCAGTCTGGTACAGAAGCATCCAACTACTCCATCCTCCACAGCCAAGTCCTCAAGTGACAGCTTTGAGCATTTCCGTCGAGCTGCTCGGGAGAAGGAGGAGCGCGAAAAGGCCCTGAAGGCTCAGGCTGAGCATGCAGAGAAGGAGAAGGAGCGGCTGAGGCAGGAGCGCATGAGGTGGGCTGGGGTCCATGCAGGGCACTGGGGCTCCCAGGGCCATACTGGGCTCCAGGCTGACCTGGGGCCCCGCTCTGCCCAGGAGCCGAGAGGATGAGGATGCGCTGGAACAGGCACGTCGAGCCCATGAGGAGGCACGACGTCGCCAGGAGCAGCAGCAGCAGCAGCAGAGGCAGGAGCAGCAGCAGCAGCAACAGCAAGCAGCTGCTGTGGCCGCAGCCGCCGCCCCCCAAGCCCAGAGCTCTCAGCCCCAGTCTATGCTGGACCAGCAGAGGGAATTGGCCCGAAAACGAGAGCAGGAGCGAAGGCGCAGGGAGGCAGTGAGTAGGGGAACCTGATGAGAATTTTTGGGCAGGAGTCCACCTTGACAATCCTGTGAGGAAGGTCCTGGGACCTAGTAAGGGGGGAAGGATAGGCAGTGAGCTCAGGCCTGTTGTGCTACACAGGCTAGTCTGATGAGTTCACTGGCACCTGGGTTTGAACAGACCAGGGTGGTCTGAGGGAATAGTATCTGGGAGCTGTACACAAACAGTATGGGGAACAGGTGGTGGACTATGCACCCCAAACTCACTTCTGCTTCCTCTCCCTCCAGATGGCAGCTACGATTGACATGAATTTCCAGAGTGATCTTTTGTCAATATTTGAAGAAAATCTTTTTTGAGAGCACCTAGGTGACTTTTGCCTTTTTCGGGCAAAAATATTGACTCTCCATAGTGTTAGGGGCGGCAGTGGAGGCAGTAGCAGCAGCCAGGGATGCCTCTGGGCCTGGCTCTCCTGCATGCTATGCCCGGGGCAGGCCTAACGGGCAGCTGAGGATCACAGAGCCCATCTGCCTTACAGCCAGTCGGACAGACGTCCTACCACATGCCCCTCAGAGGACGTCAGTTCAGAGCACGCCTCAGTATGAGTCAAGTGCCGGCTGGACCCAAGGCCTGCGGCCCCGCGTGCGGGGCAGAGGCCCTTCTCTGCGCCAAATGTCTACACAGTATACACAGGACATTGTTGCTGCCGCCACCGTGACTGGTTTTCTGTCCCTGAGAACATGACGTTTGTGACGTCCTACCCATTGGGAGTCCTTCACACCCCAGCCATCGCTGCCCACTCCCAGGAGGCCAGGGCAAGCCTGTGTGGACTGGAACGGCAAGGCACTGGCCCATCCCCTTGCTGGCACTGACTTTGCCTTGAACAGATCCTCTCCCCTCCCCCCACAAGCCTTTAATTGAGCGCCGCTCTCTATAAGTGTTCGCTTGTGCAAAAGGGAATAGTGCCATGGAAGTGTGTGTCCATTCATGGCAATTCGGATAGAGGTGACTGTTCACATACATGGACAGGCCTCACCTGGGGAGTAAGGCCACCAACCAAAGTCAGTTCCTTCCCACCTGTGTTTCTGGTTTTGTTTTGTTTTGGTTTTTTCCTATATATATATATATATTTTTTTTTTTTTTTGAATTCTATTTTATTTTTAATTCTCTCTTCTCCTTCAGACACAGTGGCACTGCTTATCTCCGAAATGGTGTGATCGTCTCCTCATTGAGTGGCGGGGGCACCCCCGCCCGTGGGGGGGTGGGGG